TAGCTGGTTTCCTTAATTGGTTTTCAGAAGGTGCCCTGCTAACTTCCGCGGAAGTAAGCAGGGCACGCGATATTTTTTAAAATATGTCCGCGGCAAAATTATTATTTTCACTGATAATTTACGGATAATTAACGGCAAATTATCAGATAGTTACTTTAGGTTTAGCTGGTTTCCTTAATTAGTTTTCAGAAGGTGCCCTGCTAACTTCCGTGGAATATTTTTTGAAATATGTCCGCGGCAAAATTATTCTTTTCACGGATAATTTACGGATAATTAACGGCAAATTATCTGATAGAAATTTTTGCTTTGAGAAAAAGTCGTCCTGCCAACTTCAGAGAGGTGTTGAAATCGTAGATTTTACAGGCTCACACTTGTCTTTAACTATTCGGTCACAGCTGCCGAAGTGTATATGGATATGGTTATAGCTATGGGCATAAAAATGGATATCAATTTGGATATGAAAATGGACATGGATATAAGTATGTAGATATGGGTAAAGATATGGATATGAATATGGATGTGGATGTAGCTAAGAGTGTGGATATGGATATGAATATGGATGTGAATATTAATATGAATACGGATATGGCTATGGATATGGACATGGATATGGATACGGATATGTATAAATTTATATGAATAAGCATATGGATACGAATAGGGATGCGGATGTATGTAGCTATTTGTGTGCATATGGACATGGTTGTGCTTCTGTGTGTGGGGTATGGGTATGAATACTGATATCGATACAGGTTTGGATTTATGTAAATATGGGCATGGGTATATAGTTATGATTATGGATTTGCACCTTTTTTAAGTTGCTGAAAAAATCTCTCTCTAATATTACTTCTTATTGATGTTATTTCCTTATATACGCTTGAATGGCAAGTGTAGGTAACTCCCAATCTACTGATTGTCTCTTTTAAACTTGCACATGTCCAGAGACACGGTGCAACAAAATGAAAAAAATCGAATCCCTAGGGTCTCATAGTATTTTTCTGACAGGTTATAAAAAATAAGAAGACACGTATTTTGCCAAGTATTTGTATCAGTATTATTTTTTTTTTTTAGTTATGCCACCTCATTTTATATGAAATTCTGAGGAATTAAAGCAAACACCATGTCAGCGAAAAAATTATTAAAAATCAACGGTATTTTGTAACTACTTCAAACTTAAAATTTATTATACTAAAATTGAATGGGCTGCATACTAAGAGATTTTCTAAAAATTCTGAAGAAAAGTTTAAAATTTTGGTGAAAATTCCTTGAATTTTTGTACAAAGTTTGAAATGTGAACTTATATGGTGTTTGTTGTAAAACTCGCTAGGCTTTTATAAAAAACATTAAAAATCAAATAAACCAAAGACATATAGGCAAACTGGTCATAATAAGGCGAGTCTATTATTTTTGCCACCAGTATAGGAATATTTTTTTTAAATATTTGCTTAAAAATAAAAACTATTAAGCGGATTTTCAACTTCTATAGCTCAAATTAAAGGTATAGCCATAAGCGACATTTAAATATAAGAGTTTTAAATATCTAAAATAGTTTTGGATGATTTCAGATATAGCTTTTTTCTTAGTAAGTACCTCAGAATTCCATCTATGTAAAATGAGAACTGTAAACTTTGAGGTTGCATAAAATTAAAAAAAACATCTGATACAAATATGTATTTGGTAAAATACGTTCCTTCTTATTTTTCATAACCTGACAGAATAATGCTAGGCAAACCCTAGGGATTAAACACTTTTTTCATTTTGTTGCACTGTGTTATTCTCGAGTCGCTATTAAAAAATTTTCTACATACAACTATTTCTCCGAGTTTTCTATTCATGGAACAAATTTACATTTGCAAATTTTATGGGCATATGTATGTATTTAGGTATATTACTACATATTTCCAGTCACGTTTTTCTGTAATTAGAATCTTATCAGTTCTCGCTCCATGCATTCCCAATGTCGATGATGATTATGATGAGGCCACATGGGCAGACAAAAGATATCTATGGGTACTTATGGTATAGATCTAATAGTACAAAAATGTATACTTATGTTTGAATGTTTGAATGTTTTATGAAAAAAATAATCCTACAAATGTGAATATGTTGTCGGCGTCAATTTCAAAAGAACGTCAAGTGCAACTGACAAATGATTGTTGCTGCATTTGAAAGTACGTACATACAAGCATACAGATTTATTTACATGTATGTAATGCACACTGCAGCCATGGCTGACTGATAGGCTGACTTAAATACATACATACATATGTACATATATATAAACGAAAAAACATACGCTTGGTACTGTTAGCAGTTACGTAGATTT